CAGGTCCACCCTAATGCTAGTTTTGCACGGCTCTTTTGACCTGCCACAGTAGATTACATTTGGTGAAAGCTTTTATCCAAAGTAACACACTGTTAGTGCAGGAGGAAGATAATTTAAACTGCCACAGAACACTGGTCAGATGCAATAAAGCAGCAGTTAATTCACAGTCATAAGCATTAAGCACTGAATAAACTGCAAATAAGTACATAAGCCAAGCCACCTGTCACAGCTGCCATTGATATTGTCAAAGAGATACATTCTGGAGCCTGTTAATGCTCATGACAGTTGTGACAGAGCCACACGAGCCAACTGACAGCCGCCAGAAATCTTTGGAAAAAATAGCCTTCTTTTCTAAAGATTTTATTGTTAACTTAATAGGTTCAATTGTGGTAAACAACAGACACACAACCTTAATTTTTTTCAGGTTTCGTTCAGTTAAAAGTAAGACCCATAATTGAGTGGATGAGAACCAGTGTTTACAAACCCACAAACTGAAATTTCTGAGAAAAACAGGTTCAAAGATTCTGCTTTCTGTAAATTCAGATGTTTGCCATATTTTTGATATTTCTGGTCATAAGAACTTGTAACGAGTGTTAAATATTTATGAAATAAGAACAGTCAGAGGGCACTTCATGCACGCAGCTCGTTTTTCACCAAATGCTAGATAGTAGCCTCAGGTTCTCACTCATTCAATTATTCAGTTCACCAGATTTGGATGCGCATGCCCTAACATTGATGCCGACAGTTTGCAATTTAGGCTGAGAGTATTTACACCTAAGTTCACTATGTAAGAATTACAGCCCATTAAAACTGTCACTGCTCAAATGCCATTGAATTAACCGTACGTACCCTATGGCTGTTTTGTGACACACTGAATCTGATTAATGGCCTGAGATACACCTGCTCCCTGACTCTTGATTCTCAACTAAAACAAGCTCATAAACCTAAAGGCCAAGGACACAATATCAGGGAACCAATCATATGCTTGGCTTTGGGTGACATTGCCATATGTTTCCTCTCTGAGACCCACAGGGTGCAATGCAAACTGCCACTATTCTGGATCCTTCTAATTCTAACAGTAATTCTTCCTCTAGAGTCTAGACAGTTCTAATCATGTGATACAAGGATACACTGTATGCATATCTTTTCTTCACAAATCAGGCCCCCATTGAAAAAAGACCCACTATTTCTAAATATGACTTCCCTGTGTAAATACATAAAATATAATCAGAAGTTCAAGTGCTTTCAGGTCAGAAAATGTAGGAAGGTGTCATTTCTCTTTAAGGTTTTCATAAGTCTGTATCCAAGTAATGCCCAACTGAAAAGAAAACTGGTAGGTTTGTGTTGAAAAATTACATCTGTTTCAAAGGGATGCATCATGAATGATTAGTCTTCCCACGTCACGCAGAATGATTAAATTAACTCCAGATGAAGGCTGGAAAATAGGACAACTATCAGAGCAAAAACAATTCAATAAACATCCCCCAGCGAGTGTCATTTATGAAATACACTTGTTTCAATAGAGCTTGTAAAATTGCATTTCCACGCCGTCTCTCCGGAGCTGACACTAGCATCGCTACTAAAACCGCGCAAATGGGGGCAGTAGGGGCAGGGCAAATAAAATGACATCAACAGAATCTGATCAAAGAAAAAACAGAGCTTTTCAAAACATGCCTTCTTTGCGTATTACAAATTTGCTATCGCAATCAGCTTGCTGAAGCGTATGCTTACTCTCACTTTGACTCAACCTTCAAAGGACGCAGCCCTGGGAGGACCACACCAGAGGCGAGAGTGATTCCATATTCGCAATTGTGACGGCATACAAACACTATAGAATGGGAATTGTCATCACAATGCACCCAATTACGATGTCATAGGACAGGGCTATTCAACATTATCCTGCAAGGGCTGGTGTGGGTGCAGGCTTTCATTCCAACCAAGCTCTTACACACCTGATTCTACTCATCAAGCTCTTTAGCAAAGACTCTTAGGGTTGATTAGTGGTGTCAGGTGTGTAAGTGTTTGGTTGGAATGAAAGCTGCACCCAAACCAGCCCTTTCTGGATAAGGTTGAATAGCCCTGTCATGGGAGGATAATCAGTGGGTGCTGGGATTTGCGCAGTGACGCAAACAATAGTCCAGAGGGTAGTGCTATCTAAACAGAGTAGGCTACCTGAGCAAAAAGCTGGACTTTTCCCAGTGGTTGAAGCCAGCCCAGAACACATTGCAGCAGAGTGGAGCGGTATTTTTAGGAAGTTGCATTGTTTTTTTTTTTTGTACTGACACTGAGGCTGGATAAACAGAGCTACTGAGCGTACTGTTTGTTGAAAGTCTTAAAGGACAACAGAAAGAAAAAAAGCCAGTCCCAATCTCTCTCACCCACTCGCTATCTCACACTTGTTCTCTTCCACACACACTTCAGCGCTCACACTCACTCTCAACCTCTCTCTCCCTGAGAATAGGATGAGTCATCTAAGGTGGAGGAATGACCTCAGTCATTCAACACACAATAACTAAATTTCTGTCGGCCAACTCACGAGCAAACTGTCAATAGCAGCAGTAACAAATGGATACAATGATAGTTTGGCATCAAGGCCTTGACCCTGACATGACCTGCTGCCAGCTAAGCTTCAGGAGAGCAGGGAAAGTCAGGATACCTACGCCCCCCCAGGAGAAATACGGAGCCCACAGGATGCTGGGGTGGAGCTGGGATGTTAACTAGCAGCAGGCAAGAGTGATGCAGCACAGCAGCAGGCAGAGGCGAAGGCGAAGCCGGAGAGAAGATTATATAGAAGATTATATAGCCCACCTTCCAGAGGGGCGGAGCAGTGTGTTACATGCATGATAATGTCAGTGGAAACGTGGGCATTTCTTGAGTTATCTGCCAGGATTAGCTTCGCAAACTGCGCCCCATCTGCTTGTCTTCCAGCATTTTGCAGTCGGCCAACTGAAGAAATTTTCTGGCAGACACTTGAGGCAAGGATCAGCTTATGGAGTGAAAAAGTTGCTAAAATGTCGGGGTATTAATGGGGATAGCTGTATTGCTGTCATCTTGACAGGCTGACAGCTGTCGTCAATGGCAGTTTGATAGGCATTTGCTGTCTGGACCAATAACTGGACTGGTGGCTTTATCTCTGTCTGTCTGCCCTTGAACCAAGATACAGACAGAATGACAGACAGACGAGTTGACAGACAGATCTAAATGTATGGTATTCCATTCCATTCTTATATTTTCAGACAGCTGCTATCACATGACTGCATGCCTCAAACCACTCATTGAGCCCCAGCAGAGATCATTTCCAAGGTTACTAACCATTATGGATTCCATTATGTATTCCAAATACCTAATGTCATGTGTGTGTTAGTGTGTTTTATTACTGTAATATGAGTGAAAAGTCAATGATTTTTCTTGCTTCTAACTTCAGCCAGAGTCAGTCTGAAATTTGAATCAACCACAATCACACATACACACACGCACGCGAGCACACACAAAAACACTCACCGAGAAGCAGGACAGCCTCACCCATTAGCAAAACTAGACTCCAGCAATCGACTGGCTAGACTCCCAGATCTATACCATCCGTCCATTCTAATGCCCCTCAAGACATTGGGTTTTTCATTCCGACACCCCTTTCCCCTGACATCCGGCACATACCGATTCAAGGCACATTCTCAGTAAAAACCTTTTTTTGGCTTCTCTCCACAGAGCAGTGATCTTCACTCCTGGTCCTGGAGAGCCACAGTGTCTGCTGGTTTTTGTTGTAACTCAGTACTCAATTCATCAACTAAACCAGTCTATTTTAGAGCTGACTTATTACATCTACTTACTTGGGTCCAAACTGATTGCTCGTACAGAGCCAAAACAAAAGCCAGCAAACCATGCACCAGGATTGGAGACCACAGCTCTGTTGAGTCACAGGGCTCCTTTCTGATTTTTCTAAAACAAGTGGAACTAGTTCAGGCAGGAATCTGTTGTCATTCTACATCACCTGATGCGGTTGTCTGCGTCAGCGAGAGTACTCCAACAGCAGCGTGGCAACAGCAAAGAACCTATCACGTTGGTCAATTTAAGCACAATCAGCTCAATCGCCATCGCTGCTCAATCTGATGCCTCACGTACAAGGTGAGAAATGTGTTTTTGCTTGCCACCTCCACCCCAGCCTCCACCTGTTTGGTTCTGCTCTGTCTGACAGTGGGGGGATTCATAAGTTCTGCTCCCTATCTAATTTTGTTGTTGTTTAGTATGTTCTTGCTATGCATGGTAGAGAGCACCTCCAGAGTAGAACCTTCTGCCAAACTCAAATGTCATGTGTTCAATCCTAATACATGAGTTTACCTGACTGAAAAACATTTTTTCTGAATTTTATTTTGTCCACAAAATGTAAAACACAACAAATTTGACTCTTGCTGCCTCATGGCATTATGGGAAACCAGGCTAGGTAAAGACCTAGTGTATGGCTGGACCGTTCATAACGTAAATGCAAAATTGTGGGATATTTGATGGGGTCAGTGGTGTGGTCTTTAATGTTAATTCCTGGATTTTAAATGTTCAGTGAATTTGGATTCGTGTAGATCACTTGTCAACTCTCCCAGATAACTTAATAAACAGCGTTCATGCCAAATCAGTTTGTCAGAGCAACGGCCAACGGGGAAAGTACTCTCAGCTGGCCGACTAATGGTGTAACTTCATCAGTCAGTTGGTTACTCGCTCACACATTCAGCCACGGACATCCACGGATGAAGGTCCGCACCATGCCCGACTAGCCAACAGCTAGCTTGCCTATTCACTGAACCCCATCACAGCAGTACAGAATTCAAACGTTACCCAAATGCATTATGTGGTTATATGCACTATGCGCCATCGAATCATCGAGAATCGCAATTTGACCATTGAGAGTATCTTCCAATGCGGACACTGTCTGACCAAACTTCCCTGAATCCACGTCTAGGTATGTCCAGTGTCCCTGTCACCTGTTTATCTGGAGCTGTGTTTCATTTATCGGCACGGTGGCGCAGTGGTTAGCACACTTCACAGCAAGAAGGTTGTGGGTTCGAATCCGGCCTGGTGCCTTTCTGTGTGGAGTTCGCATGTTCTCCCCGTGTTCGCGTGGGTTTCCTCCAGGTTCTCCGGTTTCCCCCACCCACAGAAACATGCATTACAGGAACACTCCTACTAGTACCCCTGACCAAGGAACTGGCTTTAGAACTGGAGTTGGTCCCCGGGCGCTGCTCTGTGGCTGCCCACTGCTCCTAACTATAGGATGGGTTAAATGCAGAGGACAAATTACCCCACAGGGTTCAATAAAGTGTACCTTATATCTGACTGAATTCACTATTCTGGCCTCGCGGAATAAAAGGCATTAAACTACCAATGTCCCATCCAGATAGGAGCCAACTTCACCTTTTCACAAAGGATTATGCTCAACCTATTCCCAAGTGCTTTGCCCGATGAAGAATTACACATTTTATATTCCAAAATCCAAAAAGCAATACACTACCTGTAATGTTTGAGAAAGGATAGCAAGGCTACAATGTTCAACTGATAGATGGGACTGAATAATTATCAGAATAATTTGTAGAAACTAAATCTATTCTTTCTCTGAATCTCCCATTATAAAATTTTTTTTTTCAAAAAAGATTATGAAAGACTAAATATAAAATACAAGTGATTTTGTCAATAATGATCTTTATTTACTTTTATACCTTAAAAACCATACATTTATTTTGGAAAGCATCTTGTTAAGCCCATCTAATCAATGCTGAATGCCACATATCCCACATAGCAGACGAGTCTGGCCCGGATCCGGCGTCAAGCCGGCACTGCTGGGCGACTGCCGGCATGGCAAGTGGTATGTTGACCGGATGTGGGCCAGGTCTGGTACTGATGGCACCATTTCTGTAATAGCATGCCACATGTGGGCCGATTGTATGCGAGCTGGCCCTGTGCTGGCCCGTACGTGGGCCAGCTCTGGGAAACCAGATCTGGGCCACAACAGGGCCGTCATTCTTTATGTATGTGGGCCAGAATTTGGCCGTAAAAGTGCATTATTTGGGCCAGACCAATTTTGCTATGTGGGATACTGCTTTTCAAACTGTTAGCCTGGCAAACAAATTTACACAAATCTGTGCGCAAATCAAGATCATTTCACAAATGCAATATTGCTAATCAAATACAAAGTGCCCGAGTCATCCTTCTAATTACTGAGAAAATCTATTGTTTGATTGCTAATCAAACAAAGAGAAGGGGAGAAGGCTGACAGTAATGAAGTGATAAAAGAGGATGATAGTGGCCACCCTGACACACAATCCCATTTCAAAAAAAGTTGGGACACTGGGTAAAATGTAAATAGCAACAGAATGCAGTAATTTGTAAACCACTTAAAGCCTATGTTTAATTGAAAATAGTACACAAGCAACATATCAAATGTTGAAACAAAATTTTTTTTTTTGGTCTTTGAGAAATATCTGCTCACTTTCAATTTGATGCCAGCAACATGTTTCAAAGAAGTTAGAACAGGTTCAACTAAAGACTGGAGAAGTTGAATGATGCTTTAAAAAAGACACCTGGTGGAACAATTCAGTGCTATTTAGGTCAATTGGCAACAGGTGAGTAACATGAAAGGAAATAACAAGTCTTTCAGCAGTAAAAATGGCGAAGGCTTCATCACTCAGTGAAAGACTGCATGGGGAAATATTTAAACAATTTTAGAATAATGTTTCTCAATGTACTATTGCGAAGAATTTGGGGATTTCATCATCTACAGTGCATAATATCATTAAAAGATTCAGAGAAAGCGAAGAAATCTCTGCATGAAAGGGACAGGACCAAAAACCAATACTGAATGACCACGATCATCAGGCCCTCAGGCGGTACTGCAGTGAAAGCTGACAGGATTCAGTTGTGGAAATCACTGAAAGGGCTCAGGAACACCTTGGTACACCATTGTCAGTGAACACAGTTTGCTTTTGGATCCACAAATGTGAGTTAACACTCTGCCATGTAAAGATTAATCCATATTTAAACGAGATGCAGAAACGCTGCTGCCTTCTCTGGCCCAAGCTCATTTTAGATGGACTGAGGCAAAGTAGAAAACTGTCTTGTAGTCTGTACAATCAAAACATGAAATTCCTTTAAGAAATCATGGACAAAGCGACCTCCAGGCGAGAGGGAAAATCCAGCTAGTTATCAGCAAGCAGTTCAAAAGCCAGCATCCATGATAGTATGGGGGTGCATTAGTGCACATGGTATGGGTAAACTCGCAGCTCTATGAAGACAACATTAATGCTGAACATTATATGCAGGATTTGGAGCAAAATATACTGCCATCCAGATCTCTTTTCAGGGACAGCCTTGCTTATTTCAGCAAGACAATGCCAAACACCAAATCCTGCCTGTACTACCACAACATGCCTCCATAGTAAAAGTGTTTGGTTGCTAAACTGGCCTACCCGCAGTCCAAACTAGTCACTCACACAAAAAATATGCCGATTCATAAACAAGAAATATGGCAAAGGAGGCTATGAAGTGTTAAGCAGCTCAGATCCGACATCATCCAAGAATGGAAAAATAAATGGAAAAATATTTTGCTTTCAAAACTGCAGCAGTTGGTCCCATCAGTTCCCAAACACTTACAGAGTGTTGTTAAAAACGGAGGTGATGCAACACAGTGGTAAACATGCCCCTGTTCCAACTTTTTTGAAAAATGTTGCTGGCATCAAATTCAAAATCACCATAATCTTTTCAAAAAACATCTCAGTTCCAACATCTGATATGTTTTCTTTGTACTATTTTCAATTAAATAAAGAGCTTGAATGATTAAATCATTGCATTCTGTTTTCATATACATTGTCCGTAATGTCTCAGTTTTTTTGGAAATGGGGTTGTACTTCCAATGGTTCTTACTTGCATTCAGCACAGCCAGGCTGAAACTCAAAGGGCCATCCAGGCCCAGCAAAGAACCGTTTATGCCCAAAATCGGCCAGTGAATCACAGATGGCATTAAGAGGTTGAGCCTGAGATTTTATTGCACCGTAAAAGCCTGAGAGAGAGAGTCCTTAATTTAACTTCATCCCTCAAAACCCCTCAGCACTGTTATTTGAAGATTTTGAGGGGAATAGCAAGAAAATTGCATTTCTGTAACAGAGCTCAGAAGGAACACGTATATTGATGAATACTAATTACCAGAAATTACGCAAAAGCTTCTGAATTTTCATGAACCTGTTCTGAAGAAAAGAGAACAGAGAAGGCTGTGTTTAATTTTTTGGCGCACACTTTTTTTTAGCCTATCAGAATGCGATGTTCGAAATTACACGATTAGGCACTCGTGCAGTGCCTGTTCAAAACACGGCTGTTCAGCCTCCGGTATTGCTGCTTGTGCAGAGTAGCTGATGGTAGCTTTCCCGAGAATTCTTGAGAAAATCGCTCAGCCAGACGACTTCAAACTCGACATTCCTTGGGTCCTCAGGTCGATCGGATGAACGGCTCTTGAGATATGCAAAGGACACACATACATACTGTACACACATACAGTACTGTGCAAAAGTCTTTGGCACCCTGCATTTTTTAAAATTCAAATCTGCATTAGATGTTTACTTTTTATTTCCATATTACAGTTCCCAAAGATAAAAAGTAAATTAGAAATTCCAAATGCTAATTTAAAGTTTCAAAAATAAATGTTTGTATTCCATTGAAAATAGTCAATACAGATATTATAGTCTTGACAGAGCCTTGATGTCAACATCATCGTCATTTCTTGGAGGGATAAACGCAAGTGAGACAGTCAGTCTGCAAAAGAACGGTAGCAAGTTCTCCACTGTGTTTGGGACAAGCAAAAAGCCAGTCATCTTATAAAACTATGGCACAACAGGACAGTGTCCCAAATTTTTTGGCAAAGGGTATTCACACCAAACATTGATTTGATTTAGTTTTTAACAGCCTACGGCTCTGTTTTGTACATTTCTCAGTTATTAGAAACTTTTAATTTCATCATTTATGCAAGCATATTTGCCCTAAAAAATTTCTTTAAATGTGCCTAAGACTTTTGCACAGTACTGTACATACGTTACATACACAGATTACTTGCTTTGTAGTTAGACTTAGAGGGACCAGAGACTGTAAAGGCAATTTTCAGAGAGATTTTTACTTTGAATATATTCATAGAAGAGCCATGCACAGTCAAGACAATAATGCACTGGAAACCTGTTTTTCTGCTCACATTTTTACTTTGAATATGACCTGTGGTCATCATTTTAATCAGCATTTTAAGACCTATTTGAGAGCAGTAGCTGGAAAGCACGTGTTCAGTAAAAGGTGACACAAATGAACTGGGTAGTGGGAACGTTGGCCGGGTTAGTGAGAAATAACCTAACATTTGCTAATCCTTCAGTCTGAAGATGACGTCATATTCATAAAATGGATTGTGCACACAAAAGCTACTCTGGGACTGCAATGCAATGATCTCCAGTGCTCAGAGTCATAGAGTTGATATCCGGGAGCCTCCTCAACTCTGAAAAGACTGAGAGAGGGGTCATAGGTTGTAATTTCACATGCACTAAATTTAGATGGAGCTCCGCGGTTGAATTTAGCAAAAACATCAACAACACCACCTGCTAAGCATCTGCTGAGGAAAAGGCAGAACGAGTGGGCAGTCGCCTGAGCAGGCAGTCGCCTGAGCGCACACGCAAACATACAAATGCACACACAAACACAAACACAGACACACCTGCACATCATTCTCAAGCAACACTGTGAAGTCATACATTCAGAGCCATTCTGACATTTGTACAAACCTACAACCCTCACAACACAGAATTTAACCACCCATGTATGGGTGCATATATAAAGATTTGGACACAGACACAGTATATGTTGTACAGAGACAAAAACCAAAAAGTCACTGACTGAACATTTTGACTGAGAACTTCAAATTAACTTTTTCCGATTTATCTTGTCTTGTTTTCTGCTCTAGTCACCGGGGAATTAGCATACATTAGCATTCTTGTATTCTCGCGTAGTTATCAGAATGCTTTGAGGATGATTGCTCATTCCATGGTGAGAAACTAATTTCACCA